TAAAAGGTTTAATAGATAATGTGAAATAGGAAGAAAAGGGGCAAAGGGGAAGGGGAAGTGGGAGGGGTAGGGGAAAGGAAAGAAGGGAATGAAGTCAATATGAGAAAATGAACAAATGGAAACAAAATCTTTGTAAATACGGAGGGATGGAAGGTTTGAAGGGAGGGCAGGGGAAGGAGGAAAAATAAGAACCAAGAGAGATTATGTAAAGGTACAAATTTCCAATGATGAATATCATTATATTGCATACCTAAAATGTACCAATGAAATTAATTTTTTTAAAAAGAAACTAATACAGAGCAAAGTAGCTTGTCCTGCCAACAGCATCCCGCTGTGAGTTGGTGGCAGAGCCTAAATAGGGCTGAGCTCCCCTGACACCATACTCCCCCATCAGAGGGAGTCACAGACCCTGTGCCTTGAATGAAGCCTTCTCTCACTTCTATCACTTTCTTTCAGCAAGGTTTAGATTTTTTTGTTTAATTCTGAAGTAGTAATTATTGTTTCTGCAATTACTTTAATTATGAGTGCATTTTACAAGAGCATCAGGGTGTATTCTCTGCAAGATAATCCTAATTGAGAATCTACAAGTTTTTAAAAATCTCGCATATACAGGGAATTATAAGTACATGAAAGTATAAAATTAGGTCCCTATTTATATTGTATGTATATTTTTAAAACACAACAACTTTGTATAGTGATATTATGTTAATCTAAGAATCCAAGAATTTTTATAAAAAAAATTTATTTCCTCTGTATTAGACATTTTGTTTACCAGAAGAGAAATTTGTTCAAGGCCCCTAAAGAGCTAAAGACAGATTATATTATGCTAGATTTTAGTCTAAGCTTCTACTTCAAATTACCTACCTCCTTATATGATGAAGCAATCTTATTTTCTAGGAAGTCTGCTTTTTACTTTTTATATTTTCATTCTGTAAATTTCAAGAAGAACAAAGTTTGGAAAGTGGCATCAAGTATCTAATGTGGATGTATAAATGTTTTAATTAACAGAGTTCTTATATGTTATTTCTAATGTCCAAAACAGTCAGGACATAGGTACTGCTATTCTCCTTTCACCTGCCCTTTTTTCAGCCTGCCCTGTTACAAAAATGTGGTTTAATGGATGCCTAGAATCAGGTTGTAAATTTCTAATCAGCTCTTAAACACTTGTCTAGAAGGCATCAGTTCTGAACTACCTTCCTGGCCCACTTATACAAAAAGTAATAGTACTCAGCCCATGACTCTACTGACTACTAGAATTACAATGTGTGGGGGTGTTCAATGTAACCGGCAGTCTGGACATTATTAAAACATACTACTGGTCAAGGAAATTTGGGTCTGATAGTATTACTGAACTAAAGGTATAAAAATGAGATGCAATCATTCCTTTCAGTAGGTCACAATCTAATGAAAACAAATAATCACAATGGAACCTAAAAACACCAGAAATGTGAGTATCTTGCTTTTTAAAATCTGTCAGAAGGTGACTGTAGGATATTAGTCATCAAAGACTCATTTTTTTGTTTGTGGGGGTACTGTTACACTGAAAATTAGTGATTTCATTTGTAAATGCATGTAGCTACACTTTAAAAAATAAATAAATATTAGGGCCTGGGATTTAGCTCAGTGGTTCCACCACCTTCCTTGGAAGCTCAAGGACCCAAGTTCGATTTCTTGTACCAAAAAAAAATAATAAAAAATAAATAAATGTTAGTCTCATGTAATTACAGGATCTCTGTTCACAAAAGCATACTCACAAGACAATGTGAAAGGATTCACCACACAGCTCTTGTAGGCGCCTCAATCACCTGACAGTTACTCTGCATTCCAGCAGCTATCTCTGCAGAAACCCCTAACCATTCTGTGCCTTCCTGTCAGGAAGGGACTGGCTGAGCAAGAACAGCATAGGCAATGGACAAATCTGTAGGGGGCAAACAAGCACTATGACCAAAGGAGAGCTTGGTACTATTTGTCATTAAGACTGCATCCCTAAAATTCAGTCCTAGTTTGGCCCAGATACCCTCCTGGCTACACATACCACTACTTGAGATGATAATTAATCCCAGGCCAGTGTTCTTTTGCTACTTGACTCACATCTGGTCCACTTCCCCCACCTGTTGCTGGCATCTGAGAAATGCAAAGTAGTGAGATTTTAATATTATCTGAAGAAAAATATAACAAAAGAAATACATCTTCCATAAAATTAGAAGCCTTCTTAGTCCTTTAAGTATGCGATCCCTGTTGTACCAGGCTTTTGCATCAATATGAGGAATCAAGTGGATGACCACATTTTGCTTAATTACAAACATCTGTTCAGTTGTCACAATTCAATTTAAAATACAGCCATTTTGCTGCCTGCCTCACAAGCGCAAGGACTCAAGTTCGATCCCAGTACCAAAAAAATAAAAATAAAAATAAAAATAAACAAATAAAATACAGCCATTTATAAAGAATAAAAATTACACGCTGGGCATGCCTACCAAAAAAATCTCCTGTTTTAAAAAAAGGCAACATGGAAAATTTCGAGGATTTCCTAGCAATATACACTTTACATGTAACAAGGTAGTAATTCCACTGCTGACTCTGCAGGTTCTTTTATTTTGTGAAATCCATTCCCAGGAAAAATTAGGGATTTTTCTATTAATATTTTATAAGTCTGTCAAGCTCTCTCAGTACTTTTGTAAGCTACTTTTGGACCTTTCAACAAGAGCTCACAAATTAACTCTTTAAATCCACATATAGTAATGCTGTAGTTCAGTTTCAGAAGCTTTGCCAATTTTGTACATTATGCTGGGTTTGCATAATTAATTTCTATTTTGTATTGATTTTGACTTACTATAAAAGAGTAGAAAACAAATAAAAGCGACAGTCAATATTAAGCTCTTTAATGGTGATGAGCATATATTTTATAAGTTTAATAAAATACCAGATGGAAATCAATTGGGATGCTAAAAGATATGAAACTTTTAATATCAACCAGACACTATTTGGACTTAAGCTGGCTGATTGTCACGTTCAGATATGATGGAAAAGAAACAAAGAATATGATGAACTGTGACCCTGTCATACCCAGTGAAGTATGTTTCATGCAACACAATGCACATGCTCCAAGGGCATGATTTTGTCTAACCTTGCCACTGTCTCCATAGAAAAGAGGAAGTTCTTCTTCCATATGGACTCAGTCCTGTGCAGTCCCTGAGAAAAAAGTATGTGGTAAAATCAGGAACCCATATGTTGGATGAAAATAGGCAGGTTAAAATTACTTTAATTCTAAGTCAGGCAAGGTGATGTGCACTTGTAGTCTCAACACTTGGGAGGCTGAGACAGAAGGATCATTTGAGCCCAGGAACTCAAGATCAGTCTGGGAAACACAGTGAGAACCCATCTCAAAAAAGAAAAAAACAATTACTTCTAGCCAACAGAGAAAATAAGCTAAGCTCAAATATGGTGAAAAGAATATAAGGAAATTAAGGTTTAGGCATAGGAGTTAAACAGCTATAAAAGCCACAAGGTGTTGTAACTGTCCTGGAACTCTTATGGAAACATTCCACCGAGGTCGGGTCGGGAAGGTAACCCCAGAATAACTGTAGGTTCTTATGTGCATAAGGAAATGAGTAGACTTCCTATAGATAAGGAAAAATAAATTTCAGACCTTGGTCAAGTTTTCTCTGGGATTATAAAGTTCCAAATCACTGTGAAGAGCAGATTTATCAATTCTCAGATCCACTGAAGAATATATGATTTGCTAAGATGGGAAAAAAAAGAAAAGTGAATGAAAAGGATGAAAGAATGAACATGGCTTTGTTATCCTAAGCTTTAACCAAAAAATTCCAGAATAGCAGCCATCAGGGATGTAGCAATAGCACTGAATGTTACTGCTTTAATAACCATCTCCACAGTGATTCCTTGCTACTATGAAGAAGTGACAGCAGGTGCTGAAATGACAACAAGAGCAGCCCTATGGGAAGATGTAGTGTCTGTGCACTGCAGTTCAATCAGAACACAACTGTCTCATCATTAAATATAAATATAAATAAAATATTATCTCCCCCAAAATTGATATTAATAAGAGTACTTAATAATGTGGATTTTTAAATAATTTATTAGGCTGATTCCTTATTACTTAAATACAATCCATATTTCAAGTAGTAATATTGGAACATTTTACCTGATACTTGCCATAGTACAGTTAGAATCTTATAATTAGACAAAGATAAAAACAATAATCAAAATGAGGTCATCTTAACAATGTTCCTTATCAATATTTTATGTGCCCCTGCAGATATGAGTAATTTTTTCTCAGCTATGAATATATCTCTAGTATATAAGAATAATTCTAATAATAATAATTACAGTCACAGAATAACTGTAATTCAAAATGATGGTAATTATTAGTGAATCACTATTTCTAGTGTTTGGAAGCAAGTTAAAAAAGATGTTTGTTTTCAAAAGAGTAACTTAACTTGTCAACCAAAACTTGATCTGGTTGACCATATGGAAAGACAGCTTGCTATATTTGACTAATTCTTTTTTTTTTTTTGGTACCAGGGATTGAACTCGGGTCCTTACACTTGCGCAGCAGGTGGCGAAACCACTGAGCTAAATCCCCAGCCCTATATTTGACCAATTCTATACATTATACTGTTTTCAGTAGATCTGTTAAAATCCTAATTTTCACTGAACCTCACCATAACTGCTACTAAACTTTATACTGATGTGGTTCCTGATCCCAAATAAGGTGGAACACTTCCTCTCTGTATTTCCATAGGACTGTTTGTTTAGACTTCATTAATGGTACTTTTCATATTGTCTCATGCCACAGTTACTCTGTGAATTTACAATCTCTTTGATAGAAGACCATGATTCATTTGTTGCTATAACCATCACAGCATACAACATATATATTGAAAGCATCCTTAGACTCTAACACTTTGCATTTTGGAGATTGCAAGATCAAGATTCCTTTGTGTTTGTCCGGGTGTGTGTGTGTGTGTGTGTGTGTGTGTGTGTGTGTTGCTGGGAATGAAACCCAAGCCCTTTTTCATCCTGGCCAACTATTCTACCACTGAGCTACCACCAGGTCAAGGATTTCTTTTTTGCCTCATCCTAACTAGAAACACCCTTTTCATGTCTGCCTCCAAGATTACTGAAATAAAAAATAAGATAGGGAACAGAAGAGGCAGAAGAGGACTGTGGGTATGGCTCAGTGGTAGAGTGCTGGGGAGGGGAAGAAAAAGAAAAAGGATAAGGATAAGGAAAAAGGAAATAAGTGGAGTGTAAGAGGAATCAAAGTAGAGAGGTAAAGACTACTCACTGTATTTTAAATTCTTCTGTTCCTAGTAGAAGGGAACAAAGGGTTAAGACAAGAGACTAGTAATCCTGAGTTTTAAAGTAGGAAAATAAATGACTCTCTTGACATCTTTATGTCAAGTCTAGACTCATAAAAATTACAGTGGTGGTGAGCTGGGGATTTAGCTCAGTGGCATTGTGACTGCCTGGCAAGCACAAGGTCTTGAGCTGGATCCCTGATATGGGGGGGGGGGGGGGTTTAGAATGGTGGCCATTATATTTATTTGATTGATCATGTTAAAACATAATTGCATGTGTCATATGGAAATTACCACAGTCAAAGAAATGACTTTTATAAGATTCAATTAGCACTAAATGTAAGATTAACATAATTTCATGTTTGTTGATCATAAAGTCCTTCAAGATTTAAAAACGGTTGAAGATTAATTACTATTATAATTACTATTACTAATTACTATTACATGACACTAAAAGAATCTGTTGATTTACCCAGCTTTGTAGAAAATCATTGGCTTTTTTTTTCTTCTATGATTCCAATATGATACATAAAACTAGTTTCTCCAATTTGCTCTATTGCAGAGATACCATTTTTGGAAAATATGGAGACGATAGTTTTTTTACCTTGTTATCCATATGATTTCATCAGGATACAATTATCAATATTATAGTGGTATACTGACATCACTTTTTAAAAAATCCACAATAGACACACAGAAAAACACACCCATGATCTGATAAAATATATTCTGTATAACAACAGTAGCAACAGTTAAACAGTTACCCTCTGCCAGGCATTAGGCCTGACAGTGTCTCACTTAATCTTAAAATAGCTGAATGAACAATCAGAGGCATGAGACATAATTATTTCCTCCATTTTGTAAATATGTTTCAATAACGGGACCAACAGTCACCAGCCAATCAGGATCAAAGCTAGCATAAGACCCAAAACTAATTCCAAAGCCCTTGTTACTAGATCTTCTACTATACTGCATGGATATTTTAAGTACTTCCTATGTTCATTCCAAATCAATTTATATGATTGGCTAGGAACATTCCCTCCAAGAACATTTGTACCTGATTGTTTTATATTTCTGAAGCCCGGTATTCTGTCATCTGTAATCTTGTTCCTCCTAGGTCCTTGTAAAGCTGTCTTCTATAACAAGGTTAGTAAGACTGAAAATATAAATAAAAAAAAAAATTCTATTACAGAAGAACAAAAATATACATAAATTTGCAGATTTAACAATCCATTATTTATCTAATAAAATGTTTTTAAACATATCAATTCTATTATGAAAAAATCAGCAGTAGAGGTACCTAATTATAAAAACATTAAAATTATAAAATGCAAGTTTTGGACTTCATAAGTTTCAAGAGAGGGTTTCAACAATTTGGACACTGAAACAAATACATACTAAAGAAAATCTGATCTGTAGTATTTAGCACTGAAATTTCCTTATGACCTGAGCGCAGGAGAAAGATTTCTTAAATAAAACATGAAAGCATAAACCACAAAGAAAAGACCAGTAAATCTGAGAAAGAGGAAAAATACACCACAGAATGGGAGAAGATATTTGCAACATATACAACGAAGCGCTGGCAAAATAGTATCTAAACTATATAAAAATGCCTATAAATTAGTAAGAACAAAACAATACAATTAAGAAATAGGAGCAATAAAAGAATTTAATAAAAAAAAGAAATAGGCAAATGATACAGGCTATCTATAGAAGTAATAAACATATTAAAAATATTCAAATTCACCAATGATTTATCATGAGACAACAACCATGATGAAATCATCTTGTCCATGACATCTGCAAAATTTGTCATATGCATGAAAGAATTTTGATGGGAATCTTTTCACAGGAAAGTTTTGATGGAGGCAATGTCAAAGATAAAAGGTCCCATATAATTCTACCAATGAATTTGTATGCTACAGTGTTTCCAATGGTGAGGCAGTTTTTAAGATTTTAATCTTTAATCATCTATGTATGGGGGGATATAGTTACACAATATTAAAAAAAATCTTTGAATCAGAATATCACCATTCTAATTTTGTCTTTACTGTGGACACAAGAATTTGATAATAACAATTCATAAACCCTAATTTCTTTGCCATCTCATAAATAAAATTTTATCAATAACATAAACAGTAGTATTTTAAATGTCATGGAAGAAAAACCCAAAATAGAGAAAAAAGTTTAATTTTAGTTTATTAGGAAAACGTGTTTCCTGTTTCTGATCTAAATCTGCTTGCAAAGTCCACTCTTTTCAGAACAGGAGAGCAACATTTCTTATAGACCCAGGGCAGAGACTGGCATTTGTACTGGCATGATTTTTATAATGTTAGTGTCACAGAATAAGATCATTCCATAGGATTTTACTTTAGAATGATAGTAAGATTATCTCATTATCCTACTATATATTACTTCATTTTCTTCCCCAACCTGTTGGTTTGGGGATATATGACTTGATTCATACATAGTTACTCATATTAAAAGTCCTTTGTTTTAAGTTTTTTTGTTTAAAAAAAGTCCTTTGTGCTTTGCAAAAATAGCTTCTTACATATTTCTTGATTTTGTTTAAATGTAATAAAATGTTGCTGTAGAATCTTATTGTATTGCAATACAGATAGAAAGTGGGAGAATAAGGAGCTTCTCCAAACAGAAGCTTTCTTCCACTGGTTTCTTTCAAGAAATGGGAACTGAAGAAAGTATTTTGCAAGTGTAATTTTTCAGAACCAAATTCTCTACCAAGTAAGATTATCTGCTGTACAACATTTCTTATTCCAGATGTTTTCCTAAACTTATATAGTTCAATTGTTTATTTTGAAATTATTCCTGATGGGGACAGATAACTTCCTTTGGGCATGGTATGAGACTTTACACCCTTAATAACTTACACAGTTGAAGACTAGCACACAAGAAGACAGTCTTTATAAAGTGGCAAATATATCCATTCTTAATCTCATAAAGAACAGGCCGGGTATTTAGCTCAGTGGTTTCAATGCCTGCTGCGCAAGCCCAAGGACCTGAGTTTGATCCCTGGTACAAAAAAAAAAAAAGAACAGGTCAAATAATTCATTTCCCTGTACAAGCATATAATTGGCAGTCTGTACATATTGTTTGGTAAAGTAAACAGAATTAATCAGTGTGTCTGTTACACAATGTGCCATATTACTTAGTAATACCTCTGACCTAGATAATAAGTTAAGCTGGTTAAAGGACATACATTCATTTTTTTCTAATTCATTCAATAAATATTTATTGCCTGTGGTAGGCACTGAGTGGAAAGCAAATATGTAAATGAGAAAATACAATAATGTGGAGCAAAGGAATATGAGCTTGTAGGTGCTTGTGTCCACATTACTGCAACCCAATGTTAGGCATTTAGAGCTGATATTCTACAGTTCATCAAGAGTTTCTAAATGATGATAGCTGTTCTTTAGACATGCTCCTATAAGGAAAAAGACCCCCAAAAAAGGAATTTCTGCAGATAAATACCAGTATTAGTTATTTTGAAATTCAATGTGATAATATGAGGTCAGCTCTTGAAGTCTTGTTTGAGAAACACATTTTTTTTTAAAGTTTTCTTGGGCTGGTAATGTAACTCAGTGATAGGGCACTTGCATAACATGCATAAGACTGGGTTCAATCCCCAATACTGGGGGAAAAAAACCTTAATTCTATTTAATAACTCTTCCACCTGGGCAATACACTAAATGATGCATGATGCTTGTCTAATCAAAGAAACAGAATTAAACAAAATCAATGACTTCAGGACATCATCACATAATTTGCAGCATGAATGAGAGTTCCCAAGTACATGCTTTGATGAGTTATTACCATTAATAGCTTTTTAAAGTGTTATCCTTAAGTTACAGGTAATATAAATACATATAAATATAAATACATATAAATATAAAACAACCTCAATTATCACTTGCAAAAATGGACGATGTCAGCTTTTATTTAGCTCCTCTTAAATGAGATGTTGGAAAATAACAAGTAACAATAGATAACAATAGATACCTACATAGATGCTAATGAAAATGAAACAACTATATCATGATGGTGAAAATGGAGCACAACCTTAAAGGAAATGGTGTTGTCATATGTTTATGAAAAACAGCAAACTGACTTGTAGAACACAGAAACTCAGTTGCTCTTTTAATTGTAAAAGGTTTTCAAATTGCAACAAGAGTACTGGGGCAGACGGTGTAAAGTGAAGCTGTGTTTAGTTTCAAGAGACTACTGACTACTGAGTTCATCAACATTGGCCTTTTAAATCAAACATGGCAAAAGTGTCACTTTCTTTATCTGAGTTTTTTTTTTTTTTTTTTTGAGGGGGAGTTGAGACAGGCTCTCACTATGTAGTTCAGGTTGGCCTTGAACTGACTACATAGCTCAGGCTGGCCTCAAACTTTCTGTGATACTCTTTGCCCTCAGCCTCCTGAGTGCTGCGATTAATATAGACATACACCATCCCACCCACTTGTTACTTTCAAAAATGAAAAATAACACAAACTACAAAATGTTTTAAATTGTTATATGAATACATGAGTTGGTACTTGCAAGTTATGTGTAAATCCAGTTGAAACTTCCTTATGGAGCTAATCAAAATTTTAAATATATCTTAACATATCTATTCAATAGAATCCTAATTGTTAAAAATTTTGGCACCACAACATAAATAATTCCTTCAACACGAATAGCACTCTTGATCTTGGCTCATTTCCATTTGGATTCCTTTTGTTCAGTGTCATCTCACCCAGCATAACACCAAAAATATTACAGTACGGCTATTATAGTTTAGATCCAGAATGTCCACCAAAACTCTCACGCACTCAAAGGCAGGGCTTTTGGAAGGTGACTGGATCATGGGGGTGCTATACCTATTAATCCACTGATGAATCCATAACTGAATGTGCTATTAGGAGGTGAGGTCTATTTGGAAGAGGCAGGTCACTGGAGGTGTGATCTGGAAGGATGTATCTTCTCTCTGGCGCCTCCCTTCTCTCTCTCTCTCTGCTTCCTGGCCACCATAGGATGAACAGCTTTCTTCTGCCAGACCTTTCTACCATGGCCTTCCTGCTCTGTAGCCAGATGACTATGTCCTTAACTGTTAGCCAAAATAAACTTCTCCTTAAATTGGGGGTATTGGATATTCTGTCCCAGTGACTAAGTGGGTGACTAAGACAGTCTCAAAAAAGTGACTAAGAAAGTCTCAATTTATGATTTACTCACAGACTATCACCTACTCATATTTGTTAGCTCACAATATTTTCCTCAGGGAGATACACATAACAGAAACTCAGGCTAGAGGAGCAAGGCTGAAGACATAAAAGATAAGACATTCTAATGTTAGATTAATGTAGAAAAAAAAGCTATTAAGACTTAGATCTCCTGGAGATCTTCATGCTGTTAGAAAGGGGTCACCATGTAAATGAAATGTATATTCCTTCCAGATGATGAAAGCAAGGATTATATGGGCTTGCCATTGCTGGGTATGATGAATATCCCTTAGAGGGAGATGAGTTATCTGTGGATTTGAAGTAGATATTCCTACAGGGAACCTCTACTTACAGCCTTAAACAGGAGTCCCTGATGTCACTCCACAATAATTCTGCTTCTCGTTTCCCTTTCCTGGACAATTCTGATTTGTAATAACTCCAGATAAACTTTAAATGTAGGCATATTTTAATGTAAAATAGGTGTAAAACCTGAAATTGAATATGACACTCTCCTAAGAGCATAAGCAAATTCAATGGGTTCCCTACATTTATACTTCTAAAGTAATGGTGTATGAATATTTGTAATCTACTTCGTTTAAGTGAAGGACTGACCTCAAAGGAACCACATTTTACTTTCTAAAATTGTTCCTATCAGTCTCTTTTTCTATCCTTTCTTTAATTAAAGACTAAAGGTTGGTTAAGTTTGTCTGATTCATTCAGAAATCTGAAAAAGACATCATTTAATATTACAATATGGTATCATATTACGTGATTTAAGCTTCCCTTCTACATGGTTTCAAATTTTAAAAAGCAATGATCACTCTTACAAAAGAACTTCACTAGTCACCCACATGGCTTAATGTCAAAGGGGCATTAAAAAGCAATCACAAAATGCAGTAAACTATAAAGAAACTACAGCCATCCATGAGGGATTGGTTGCAGAACCCTTTACCCCATAAATCCCAAAATCTGCCAGTGCTCAAGTCCCTTGCATGAAATAGGGTAGCTAGTGCACATACCCATCCTCTTTGTATACCTTAAATCATTAGATGACTTACAATACCTAATATAGTGTAAATATTATGTAAACAGTTGATATGCTCTATTATTCAGAGAATAATAAGAAAAAAATTATGCATGTTCAGGACAGGCTTGATTTTTAAAAAATGTTTTAAACTGGAGCCTTGTTGTATCCTAGGACATAGAACATAAGGTTATGGACAACAAACTGTATAGTTTCTCTCATCACATCTGCAGTGGTTGTTTGGTTAGTCTCTCCCACATAAGAGTCCAGTCACTTCAATTGATGTGATGGTCTAAACTGTAAAATCCTGAGTAATCTTAACTCTATTTGGCAGAAATCATTTTGTACTTAAACAAAGATGATGACATCTGTCACAGTAGTCACAATGTGGGCCTCTATGAAGAATAAATTAGCTGCAGCATGGCAACGAATATTTTCTCCCAGAACAATTCTTAATTCTGAGCCCCAGTTCTCCATTTTGAACATCACCTTCGATTTATTTATTTTATTTTATTTTTTTTGGTACAGGGGATCGAACTCTGGTCCTTGCGCTTGCGCAGCAGGCAGCGAAACCGCTGAGCTAAATCCTCGGCCCTCACCTTCGACTTACAGTTTAGACTTGCCATCACCTGGCTGTTTAGAATGCAGCCCACATCTATACTTCCAATTTCCTTTCACTGCTTTTTCATTTTTTCGTAGCATTTATAATTTTATAACATAATTAAATGTTGGTTATCATTTTTCACTAGAGCATAAACTCCCAGGGAAGGGATCTTCTGTTCACTGAAAAATTCCACGCACATAGGACAGTGCTTGTTAAAAAAAAAAAAAAAATTGTTGAATGAATCTATGCTCAGTGCAAAATCTAGTCAGATTCCAATTTCATGGATAGAGTTAAATACCTTCTTGTATATTATATATATAGTTTCAGACAGTGATTAAGTGCTACAGAATAAGAGCTTGGAGAACCAGAGATGTGACCACTTTAGATAATCATAATTGTTTCAAGACATGCCATGCAGATTTGGACAGAGTAGGAAAGTGAGGAGGAATGAGCATGGAGGAAATAGTAAATACACAAGCCCTGGAGTGAAGGTTCAGTAAGTGTGACCCAAAGCAGCAGGCGGGGGGCGGGGGGAGAATCTGTCCTCCTAGGTACCTTACCGGCTACTAAATGACACGTACGCACTGCCAAGTAGGTAGGAAAGGGATTACATTTCACCTAGAGCACTCAAATTCTCTGGGCCGAAGGGGCTCTTCTATTACAGCCCCTAAATGTTTGTACCAGTATCTTATATAAGATTGAAAGGCACACAACAATGTTTGTTAGAAACTCTTCACAGGAGCCCCAGTCGTAACTGACTTAACCAAGTACCACTGCTCAGTAAAGTGTAAACCCAAGCAGAAACTCAATATACGGAAATGTAAAGCTAGAAGGCTCAATAAATATTAAATAGTGATTATTACTTTCGAGTCTAGGTGACAAAGCAACGTTCGAAAGTGCTGTGATTCATCCATTTTTATTCGACTTTGACAAAGATTAAGTCTATTATATGCACTGTGTTAGTCTTGAGCTCGAACTGTTGCGACATTTTATGTAACTGCAGAGAAAAGCCAAAAGTCCATCCTGAACTTTCAACTCAGGCAGTAAAGTTCTTTCTCCGCCTAAGCAGAACAGGATCTTCCCACTGAAGAGCAAGGCAATTTCTCCCCTTTCCTCCATACCAGTTCCAAATCAGCTTTGCCTAGCAAAGTCAGTGTCCACCCAATCCCACCGTATCAGAGCCGACTGTCTAAAGCCGAAACTGAGTAAGCGAGCTGGTTCGGGGCCCAGGAGCTAGGGAAATGCATTTAGGGGTCGGGAGCCAAGGGCTGAGGCAACAGAAATGAAACCACAAGCAACCTACACTGAGCGGAGTGGGAGGAAAGGTAAACTCTCAGGCTGGGTCGCCAGTCAAGGCGCCCTGAACTCAGAAGCTTAAGAGGCTGAGCAACTCGTAGGCACGGCGGTCCCAGAACAACGCCAAACTCAACCCTAGGCCCCCGGGTTCACTCACGGGCAGTACCGCGTGGGCGCAAGGCCTGAGAAAGGACGTAACTCCTGCAAAACTCAAGTGGGCCTCGCCCGCGGCCGTGCGCAGGCGCAATGTATTTCCAGCCCACGGCCCGCACGGGTGTGCAGCCTCCTGTCCGGACCACAAATTTGCGCATGCGCGGCGACTCCTTGGCCCTAGGCCCGGGGATAGCTCTCGCCCCTATAGCCCCTGCCGAGGAGGCGCCTGGCAGCCGTGCCGGAGTGAGGAGGCCCCCCACGGGGGTACCTGAGAGAGTCCTGATTCAGCTCTGGCGCCTCCCCTTGGCTTCCCCTCTTCTCCACCCCCTTACCTCAGCGCTAGCCCGCGCTGCGTGTGCTCCGCCTCTTCGGTCGCGGTTTCTACTCAGTCGGGGGCCCAGCAAGGCCAGGAGTTGGCGCCTCCCCCTGTGGCGGCCCGGCCTCAGCGGACGCACTCCGAAGGGAAGCCCAGCCGGTCGGGAGGGGAAGGAAGAGCTGTGCGGTGAGGGGAGGGGGACGGGACTGCGCCTCGCCCCTCCTCCCTTACCAGCCGCCCCCGCCCCTCCCCTCGGCGCAGACCCCGGGACTCAGTGCCCCGGGGTCTCCCCCAGGATCCACCTCCGCCTTTTCCTGGGAACTCCCCAGTGGAATATGTCCACCTCCTCCAGGCTTGTAGTACAGATTTGGGGCAGTTTGAACTTCTACAGTTTCAGGTTTTATCTTTAAGGCTTTAATCTAGTGTGGATTTTTCTTTTTTTTTGAAGTGAGTTAAGGGACTGATTTCATTGTACAAGTGGGCTGTCCAGTTTTCCCAACGCCATTTATTTTTAAATTTTATTGGTACATTTTAGGTATACAATATAATTACATTCATCATTGGAAATTTGCACCTTTATATAATCTCTCTTGGTTATTTTTCCCCCTTTCCCTGCCCTCCCTTCAACCCCTCCATCCCTCC